CCGCCGAGCCCCCCGCGGAGCCGCCCGAGGCCGAGGAGGAGGCGCCGCCCGCCCGGCCCCCCCGGCGTCACCCCTATTTCCTGTTGCTGCAGAGCTGCGACCCGCAGGTGAGCGGGGATGGGGAACAGGCGGCGGGCGCGGATGGGGAACAGGCGGCGAGCGCGGATGGGTGATGATGGCGGGGGCGGTGTCTGGGGACACAACCATCGCTGCCGGTCGCTGGGCAGTGACAGGGCACCCAGGCACCCTGGGGACACCCCCGGTGCCGCCTGTCACCACCTGGCGATGGTGAGGGGACACCCAGGCACCCTGGGGACCCCGTGTCGCTGCGTGTTGCCTCTTGGTGAGCAGTGACAAGGGATAACGGGGCACCCAGACCCCCTGGGGACACCCCCAGTGCCGCCTGTCACCACCTGGCGATGGTGAGGGGACACCCAGCTACCCTGGGGACCCCCCTGCCACAGGCTGTCACCATGCGGTAACGGTGATGCGACCCCCCGGCGTCTTGGGGACACCCCCATCACTGCGCAGTGAGCAGTGACAGGACAACGGGGCGCCCTGGGGACACCCCTGTCACCGCCTGTAGCCACCCGGTGCCCAGGACGGTGATGGGACACAACAACACAGCCCCACCCCAACACGCACCACCGTCCTCGCCTGTCTCCCGCACAGGCGCCGGTGATCTACCCCCTGACGCGCCCCCGCCACGTGTTGGGCCGTCGCCCGGACAAGGCCGCCGGGAGCGCGCCCGCCGCCGACACGGTGTTGGAGGCGCCCGACCTGCTGGCCCGACACTGCGCGGTGCGCACAGGCGACCCGCCGCTTGTGCGGCCGCTCCGCGGCGCCGCCGTCACCCACAACGGGCGCCCGCTGCTGCGTCAGGCGCCCCTGCAACCCGGCGACCTGCTGGGCCTCGGCCGCCACGTCCTCCTGCTGTACAAAGACCCCCGCGACGTCACCGTGCCCGAGACACCCGCCTGGGCGCCCCGCGGCCTCCCGCCAACACCCGGCGCGCTCGGCTGTTCCGCCTGCGGCCGCTCCGGCCCGGAACGTCAGGCCGCCCTGCGGGCCTTCCTGGAGAGCCGCCGCGCGGAGCTGCGCTTCCGGCCGCAGGACGAGGAGCCGCTGCTGCGCGAGATCCTGCGCCTGGCCGCCGGGGACGCCGGGGACGCCGGGGACGCCGGGGACGCCGCGCTGGCGCCCGCCTTCCTGCTGGGGCTGTGCCTGGAACACTCGGCGCGCGCCATGGAGCCCGCGCACCTGCCGGCGCTGCTGGCCCGCGTCGCCCGCCGCGTGCAGGAGGCCGCGTGGGTAGGGACGCGGGGGGCGCGCGGGGGGGGCGCCACGCACCCACGGGACACGCGGGGGTGTCGCCACGCACCCACGGGACACCCGTCCTGCGGGACACGCGGGGGTGTCGCCATCCACCCACGGGACACCCGTCCTGCGGGACACGCGGGGGTGTCACCACCCATCCCATGGGACACGCGGGGGTGTCGCCACGCACCCATGGGACACCCGTCCTGCGGGACGCGCGGGGGTGTCACCATCCACCCATGGGACACCCAACCTGCGGGACACGCGGGGGTGTCACCACCCACCCACGGGACACCCGGGGGTGTCGCCACCCGCCCACGGGACACCCAACCTGCGGGACACGTGGGGGTGTTGCCACCCACCCATGGGACACCCGGGGGTGTCGCCACCCACCCACGGGACACCCGTCCTGCGGGACACGCGGGGGTGTCACCGCCCACCCACGGGACGTGCGGGGGTGTCGCCACCCACCCACGGGACACC